GGATTTGGAGAAACTGATCCTCATCTCGGCCGCGTCGCACTCGGCTGCTGTAGATCCCGATCTGATGAAGCCAATAGGACCACATCATCTGCAAAAAGCAGAGATGCAATCCTAAGGCCACCAAAACGGATCCCCTCAACACCTTGACTGCACCTAGAAATTCTGTCCATAAAAGTTATGAACAGAATCGGTGACAAAGGGCAACCTTGGCGGAATCCAACTCTCACCAGGAACAAGTGCGACTTACTGCTGGCAATGTGGACCAGGCACTGACACCGGTCATACAGGGACCTAACAGCCCATATCAAAGGGCCCGGTACCCCATACTCCCAGAGTACCCCCCACAGGGATCCCCGAGGGACGCGGTCAAACTCATTCTCCAAGTCCACAAAGCACATGTAGACCGGTTGGGCGAACTCCCACGCACCCTCGAGGACCCTGCTGAGAGTGTAGAGCTGGTCCAGTGTTCCACGACCAGGACAAAAACCGCACTGCTCCTCCTGAATCCGAGGTTAGACTATCCGACGAACCCTCCTCTCCAGAACCCCCGAATAGACCTTACCAGGGAGGCTTAAGAGCGTGATCCCCCTGTAGTTGGAACACACTCTACGGTTCCCCTTTTTGAATAGGGGGACCACCACCCCAGTCTGCCAATCCAGGGGAACTTCCCCCGATGTCCACGCAATATTGCAGAGTCGCGTAAGCCAACACAACCCTACAACATCCAGAGCCTTAAGGAACTCCAGGCGAATCTCATCCACCTCTGGGGCCCTGCCCCCGAGGAGCTTTTTAACTACCTCGGTGACCTCAGCACCAGAGATTGGAGGGCCCGACCCAGAGTCCCCAGGCTCCGCTTCCTCAGTGGAAGACATGCCGGTGGGATTGAGGAGGTCTTCAAAGTATTCTGCCCACCGACCCACGACATCCCGAGTTGAAGTCAGCAGCGCACCACTCCCACTATAAACAGTGTTGGTGGCGTACCACTTTTCTCAGAAACTCTCAGAAATCGGTTTCTCAGATCACACCATTGGTTGGTTCTCTAACTATCTTTCAGACCGGAGGCAATGTGTTCAACATAATGGTACTTCCTCCAGTTATTTAACAGTCAACAATGGTGTACCACAAGGCTCAGTCTTAGGACCCACCCTCTTTACAATCTACATACATAATGTAGGTAAAAACATCCCTAATGCATCCATACATTTCTATGCTGATGACACAGTTGTTTATTGTCGAGCTAAAACAGTTGCTAAGGCTTTCCAGCTTCTGAAATCTGCATTTAACTACATCCAGACTGATTTGTTTCACCTCAAACTTGTCCTAAATGCCGAAAAAACCAAAGGGATGCTTTTTTCAAATAGGAAGTTGGTCCCAGCAGTTCTTCCTCCGATTTTATCCTCAAATGGTGTCCCCATTGAGTTTGTTGATTCCTATAAATATTTGGGTATCTTGGTCGACTCACATCTTTCTTTTAAGCTCCATGTGGAAAACTTGGTAAAGAAACTGAAAATTAAACTGGGTTTCTTTTTCAGAAACAGATCCTGTCGAACCCTGAATGCTAGAAAACGCCTTGTATCTGTGACTTTCCTTCCCTCAATTGATTTTGGTGATATTATTTCCATGAACGCTCCTACAAGAACCCTGCAGATGTTGGATGCTGTCTATCATGGTGCACTAAGATTCATAACTGGCTGTGATTATCGTACCCACCACTGCACCCTGTATTCACTGGTTAACTGGACATCATTAACTTCACGCAGACTCTCTCATTGGTACATTTTCATCTTTAAATCACTTCTTGGTCTGCTGCCTTCATACATCTCCTCCTACATGTCTCTGCGTGAGTGCAGCTACGGAGTGCGCTCTCAGGACATTATTACCTGCAGTGTTCCCTCAGTGAGGACTGAACTAGGCAAAAGGGCCTTCTCCTACTCCGCTCCTGTTTCCTGGAATATCTTACAAAAAGATTTGAAGCTCTCGACCTTGACCTCTCTAAGTGGCTTTAAGAATCTGTTGGACTCCTGGCAGGGACCAATGCAGACATGTTCCTGTTTTTAGTTTTATACATTTGTCTCGGAATCTAGCAGTTTTTTTTGGTTTTGTTACCTTTTTCCTTTTAGCCATCCTATTTGTTAAAAAAAAAAATAAAAAAAAAAACTGTAGTATGAGTTTTTATAACTGCTTATTGTTGTTGCTGTTGTCCATTGTTGTCATCTTTCTTTGTTGAAATCAGGTCTCTCTTGTAAATGAGTCCTCGAGGCTCAATGGGATTTACCTGTATAAATAAAGGTTGATTGATAATGTTGGCTGAATTCATATGTGTTGGAAATCTGCCATTTTCTTCAGACTCAAGTAGCATTCTGTGAAATATTGGTTCCAGGATGTTCCAGAACTCTTTATAAAATTCTGCTGGATATCCATCTGGGCCTGGAGATTTCTTATTAGGCATGTTTTTAATGGCTTCACGGAGCTCATCTGATGTTAATGGTGAGTCTAGTTCTGAAGATTGACTACTGTCTAGTTTTGGAAGTATTACTCTCTCCAAGAATTGATTAATAACTTCATCTGTTGGATTTATTTGTGGAGTGTATAGTTTTATAGAAATCTCTAAAAACACTATTTACTTTTTCCTCGTCATAAGTTATGTTACCATTTGTGTCTTTAATACCATATATAGACGTTTTTTCTTTATTTAATTTGAGTTGATTAGCTAAAAAGCTACCGGATTTATTACTGTGTTCAAAATGTTCTAAGCGAAGTCTTTGTACCAAGAATTTGTTTTTTTTGTCAATACATTCATTTAGTTCTAATTTTATCTTGCGTATTTTTTTCTGTGTTTCCTCTCCTTGTAAACTTTCTAATAATTTGATAGATTTCTCTAATTCCTCAATACGTTTATTTTCTTTTTTCTTTTTGTTTGTTGCGTAGGATATTATTTTCCCTCTCATAACTGTTTTCCCATTACAAATGCTTCTAATGCCAATGGCCACAGCATTGTTCAAGCCAAGAGCCATTGTCAGCACTGGGGGCTAAGCACCCCTAAAGGACATGTTTTAGAATCGCCCCTGATGTAAGCTTATAATTACATGATTTTAAATAATAATTTGTCATTATCTAAAATGGGCCACTCTGAGGCATGAAACTCCAGGGCTGAAAATGAGTCCCACTCCAGCCCTGGTGTAAGATGCCTCCTGGACATCTCCCTTTGGAGGTTTTCCAGGCATGTTCCACGGTTAAGATGTTTCTTATGTCCTGGGATGCCTTTGGGTCACCCAAAAGGAGCTGGGGAGTGTTTCTAGGGACAGAGAGGTCTGGATTTATCTCCTGGATCTGTTTTCTCTGTGATCCAACTAGAGATAAAAGGTAGAACATGGCCCCTGGCCCTGTCAAGCTCAAAGTATGTGCTGTAGGACTATCTTTTAGCTGGGTGGAGTTGTCACCAGACTGTCCTGATGATGCTCAATAATCCAGGTAGAAAAATCCAACAAAGTCAGGTTCTCTGGACTGTTTCATTTTTGCTGAAACGTTTCATCTTTCATCCAAAAGACTTCTTCATTCTGAGAAGCCACAGCAAACTCAGTCTTATGAACAGCACCTTATCATAGTGGATCGACCAGTCTGAATATGCTCCGGTGGTTTCTGAGACTAAACGTTTCAACAAAAGAAACCGTCCAGAGGACCCGACTTCATTTTGTTGGATTTTTCTGCATGGATTATTGAGCATGAATCATGATATCACTCTTCTAGCTAAGTGACACAATGCCACCTGTTAATCAATCCAGCAGGCTTGTCAGGAACTGACCAATCAGTGAACAAAATGTGTCGTGAAGTGAAACGCCTTTTACCTGCAGAGCTCCACCCCTTTTCCTCCAACAACATTGTCAGGGTTTTGCATTATGAATGCTTTATGGTCAGAGGGACTTCATGAAAAATCATCAGAATTTTTTTTTAAAAAGTTCACGCTCAATAATCCAGGTATACAATCCAACATTTTTCAGTCAGGTCATCTGGACAGTTTTTTTTTTTTTTTTTGCTGAAACATTTCACCTTCCATCCAGAAGGCTTCATCAGTCAAGGAAACACACAACACAAAACTGATTCTTCCCCCAACAGCTTACTCCAAAGTGGAACAAACCAGTTATGTTGGTGCTAAGATGGTCTCTTTGGCACGCCCCCTCCTCTGGAGCCGGCCCTCTTCCTCGTCGACAGTCATGTCAAACTGGTTTAAAACCAAAAGAAGTCCATGCTCAATCTACAGCACCTCAGACTGAGGAAGTCTTTCGGATGAAAGACGAAACGTTTCTACATTTTTTTGTTGTTTTGCTTTGTTTTGTTTTTTGAATGTCCAGAGGACCAGATTTAACTTTGTTAGATTTTTCTACCTGGATTATTGAGCATGCATCAGGATATCCATGCTCAATGTTTCAGCAAAAAAAGAAACTGTCCAGATGACCTGACTGAAAATTGTTGCTTCAGAAAAAATGGTTAAATGTCATTGGAGAACATACAATTCAAACATGCCTTACCATACCATGAGTGATTAGAGGGTGGAATACAGTTTTTACATTTCAAAAACCTAAATGGAGTCTGTAAAAATATAAAAGATTATAAAGACCAACAGACAACCTCATGAGCAGCTGAATACAACAGTGATAAACAGGAAGTACCAAATGTTCATCTGTACAAAGGTAACTGCAGGTAAATCTTCCATTTTTTTGTTTTGAGGAAGTTGGATAGACATTCTTCTGAGGCCAGTTTTTATTATCTGAGTTTAAAATGTTTAGCTTGCTATGATGCCAAGAGGTGGCACCAAAGAGTTTCTTGTGTACAAGAAGACTCTGCATTGCACCAGATAGTAACACTTTTCATGCTCACAGGATATTTTCTCGTGCACACTTCCCCCTGGTCAAAAGAACCCAGTTGAAATGTTTTTCATCTTATGTCCCATTAGAGGCTCTGTAGAAACCTAGCAGTTTCATGAAATCTCCTCTTCTGGACAGGATGACTATGTTCTGGAGGTGAAACATTACCGCTCGTCATGCTGGCCAAACCCGGACAGTCCAGTCAGCCAGACCTTTGAGTTGATCAACCTGGTAAAGGAAGAAAACTCAGACAAAGATGGTCCAACTGTGGTCCATGATGAGTATGAGCGTCTCTTCCTACTGGACCACGTTGTTAGATACAGTTTGGTCTGATTCCTATAGCTAAAGTGTTCTCTTTGTTCTGGCAGTGCGGGGGGAGTTCGAGCAGGAACGTTCTGTGCTCTGTCGTGTCTGGTGCAGCAGCTGGATGCTGAAGGGTCCATCGATGTCTTCCAGGTGGCTCAGCTGATAAACCTCAGAAGACCAGGTGTCTTCAACAAAACAGTAAGGAAATGGTTTCTCACAACAGGTTCACAGTAATGACCATAAAAAGATGATGGACAAGGTTTAGACTAAAAACAGCATTGTATTTTTGCTACTTAAGATGTTTTTTTTAAGTAAAAATTATTTAAAATGAACCTGAAGTGAACAAAATCAGCCGGCGGCATCGTTTAATGAAGTGAAGTCAAAATGGAAAACAAGACAATTAGAAACAGACCGACCAGAAGGTTCATTCCAGTCGGGCTGATTTTAACAAACCGGTTCCAGTGACCCTGGGAATGGTTTCAGTCTGTCCAGAAGCTCCCAGTGGACAGTGTTAAGAACGAGTGCCGGTTCGTTCTTCCCGGATTGGTTTTGATCGGAGGGAAAGGCCAGGCTTCCTTCAGGTTTAACAACATTTATTTTCACAAACAGATTTATGCGCTGAATACAAGCAGATCTGGAGAAGCGGACCCAGTATGACAGGAGCCGGTTCTGAAAAACAAAGAAGAAAGTGCCTCCTTATAACACCTGGGGGCCTCCCCCTGGGAGATATTTTGACCTTCTGCACAGGAAGACCACATTTCACCTCCTCAGGCAGACAGAGGCACTTCTATGACTCAATGTACAATGTTATCTCTTGGTGCCTCCAAATGGTGAGAGTTTTCTCAGAGGCCCACCAACATTCCTAAGGTTATCGTCAAATGAAGCTGAACCTCCCTTCCTGCTGGTGCAATTAACAGATGTTCCTGGTTCACAGCTGCATACTCTAAAACATATTAACTTGACTAAATTAAACCCTCATAATCAATAAATAGTTTTAAACCTTCACAATATACCACAACAGTCAGTATGGCCTGGAGTCATGAAAGTTTAGGGTCGTGTCTCACTGGAGTGGGATTGTTGGAGACAGGCTGGAGACAAAGAATTGTGGGAAAATAAATATTTTGTTGTTTCTCTGAAATGTTTGCAACCAAGGCTCCATTTGGCCATGAACAAGTGGTCAGTTTTTAAAATAATAACTCATTTCTGTATGCACAGCTTGCAGTGCATGTTACATCATTGCTCACCTGCACACACATTGTACCCACCTTGGCAGCTGCAACTAAAACCCCTTTTCCACAGCTCCTCTTCAGCCCGGTTCGGTTCAACTCGATTCAACTCGGTTCTTGTTGCATTTCCACAGCACTTTCAGGACTGGTTCTGTATGTGTGTCCAGAATCCAACTCGCTTTACCAGCTGGTGGTGGTGGTGGTAGTGGTCGCTTAAGCTATTTACTAGCCACCACTAAATGTGCTAAGAAGAAGACCCTGAAAAGATACACAACCAAAATGGAGGATTTCATGGCTTTATTGAACCTTATGCTCAATCAGAGATGCTCTAATGAAGTATCTAAAAAAGTTAAATCTGGTCCTCTGGACATTCATAAAAACAAAACAAAGCAAATCAACAAAAAAATGTAGAAACGTTTCGTCTTTCATCCGAGAGACTTCTTCAGTCTGAGGTGCTGTATTCAGCTCAGTCTCTTAAATAGCACCTTCTCAGAGTGGATCAACCAGTTTTGCTGCTGACAACCAAAACCAGCTGATCACATGCTCAAGAAGGACCATCAGCCTAACAATGGATCATTAGCACCTGATGGCTGTTTACTATTCACAGAGGGCTGAGTGATACTAGCAATCACAGCATCGTAAGAGGGGGACAGTTGAACCCGGAGGCCTCCACCCCTGTTTAATGATGGACGATTTCTTTTCACAAAGATGGCCTCCTTTACTCCTCTCTCAAACCATCGTTCCTCTCTGTCCAGGATGTGAACATCTTCATCCCTGAAAGAGTGACCGCTGGCCTGGAGATGAGTGTAGAGTGAGTGTGATGAGTGTGTCTACACTGCATCGAAGCCAAGATTCAACTTGTCTGCTGGATTCCTTAGATAGAGAACTTTACTAATTGGCTTTTATGTGAATGTTTCTGTAAAGTGCCCTGAGACAACTTTGTTGAGATTTGGCGCTATATAAATAAACTGAATTGAATTGAATTGAATTGAAACACGTCAGAGTGGCCGAGAGGTCTAAGGCGCTGGGTTAAGGTCGCAGTCTCCCCTGGAGGCGTGGGTTCGTATCCCACTTCTGACAGTATTTCTGGCAGCACGGTGGCGCAACTGGTAGAGCTGCTGCCTCTCAGCGAGCAGGTCCTTGGTTCAAACCCCGGTCCAGGGGCCTTTCTGGGTGGAGTTTGCATGTTCTCTCCATGCATGCGTGGGTTTTCTCCGGGTACTCCGGTTTCCTCCCACAGACCAAAAACATGCATGTTAGGCTGATTGGTAACTCTAAATTGTCCCTAGGTGTGAGTGAGAGAGTGAATGATTGTTTGTCTCGTTTGTCTCTATGTGGCCCTGTGATGGACTTGCGACCCGTCCAGGGTGTACCCCGCCCCTCGCACAGTGATTGCTGGACATGGGCACCAGCGACCCCCGTGACCCAAAAATGGAATAAACGGGTAAAGAAAATGGATGAATTGAATTGAATTATAGGTCCAGGTCCAGATATAGGTCCAGGTCCAGATATAGGTCCAGGTCCAAATATAGGCCCAGGTGTACCTGAAAGACAAACACAGGTTAAGGATAGAAAAAATAATTACAAATACAAAACACGTTGAGCAGAGTAAGTAAAGACAGCAGCAGAGTGAAAAGTGTGGTCAGTTTGTCCTCCAGCAGTCTAAGCCTATAGCAGCAGAACTAAGGGACAGCTCAGGAAACCCAAGCCGACCCTACGTAAAGGATTTAACAAAAAGGAAAGTCTTAAGCCTAGTTTTAAAACTGGATAATGTGTCAGCCTCACGGACAGAGATTGGAAGTTGGTTCCACAAGAGAGGAGCCTGAGAACTGAAAGATCTGCCTCCCATTCTGTTTTTGTAAATTCTAGGAACCACAAGTAAACCTGCAGTCTGAGAGTGAAGTGCTCTGTTAGGAAAATATGGAACAATAAGATCTGTAATATAAGATGGAGCTAGGTTGTTGAGAGCTTTGTAGGTTAGAAGTAAAGCCCCCAGTATACTGCCGAGTACATCCATACGCAGAGGTACGTGCGTACCCCCTGCGTACCTTCCGTGCAAAGCTCAAATTTTTACAACCGCTTACGCGTACGTGGTGTCGCACAATAAACTGCCCAGCGACGGACTGTTTTGTATGTGACACCAATGTATTAAATTCCCCTTCTTCATCTCTGATCTGGCCTTTTCTTTTGTTTTTTTTTCTAAGAGGCAGTGATCTCTTCCTCCTCCGTTGATGCCATGACTGAAATGGTGAGAAATGGAGGAATTTGTCACGATCAAATTAAACTCAGGTCCAGCATGGCTGCAGAAGGGTCTGGAGATTTCCTGGTGGGCTGGTCTGATGTGTGGGCTGCAGAGCCAGCGCTCCCTGTTTTTTAAAACATTAACTAACTTTGGTGTATGAAGAAGATTTATTATTTACATTTACAAACTGGAATCTATCAGATAGATATGATTTAAACCACTTTAGAGCCGTTCCTGTAATCCCAATATCATATTCAAGCCTCTTTAGTAAAATATTGTGATCAACTGTATCAAATGCAGCACTGAGGTCTAACAGGACCAGTATAGACACAAGTCCATTGTCTGAGGCCATGAGAATATCATTAGTGACTTTTACTAGTGCTGTTTCTGTGCTATGATGAGCTCTAAACCCTGACTGAAACTCTTCAAACAGATTATTTCTTTGTAGATGTTCACGCAACTGACCTGCAACTAGTTTCTCTAGAGTTTTTGAGATGAAAGTTAGATTAGATATAGATCTATAGTTGGCCAGAATTTCTGAATCAAGGTCAGACTTCTTAAGTAAAGGTTTAATTACAGCAACCTTAAAGCTCTGTGGTACATAACCATCCATTAAAGACAAATTAAGTAGATCCAAAATGTGGACATTAATTAGTGGAAATACCTCTTTAAACAGTCTGGTTGGGATGGGATCTAGCAGGCATGTGGATGGTTTGGATGAGGTTATTATTTTTGACAATTCAGAGCTCAACAGGACAAAAACTGTCCAAACATAAATCAGGCTCTAGTGAAATTTTTAAAGTTGCCTCATTTGACAGGGGACTAGAGATAGTAGAAGGAAGGATGGTTTGAATTTTCTCTCTAATTGAAATAATTTTATTTATAAAGAATCTCATGAAATCATCACTACTTATAGTTGTAGGGATACATGGTTCAACAGAAATGGGACTTTTAATTAGTCTAGCAATAGTACTAAACAGAAACCTAGGGCTATTTTTATTCTCCTCTATTAAAGATGAGTAATATAAAGTTCTAGCTTTACGGAGAGCTTTTTTATATGTTAGCAGACTATCTTTCCAAGTTAAATAAAATTCTTCAACATTAGTAGAGCGCCATTTTCTCTCCTGGTTTCTAGATGCTGCTTTAAAGTACGTAACTCAGAATTGAACCAAGGAGCCAGTTTCCTCTGATTGATTACTTTCTTTTTCAGTGGAGCAATTTTATCAAGTGAAGTTTGGATTGAAGTTGTAAGTTGATCAACTAGATGATCTAAGTCTCTGTTCTCTGATGCATTACTCTGCAAGACAGAGGAAAACATTGATGGAAGAGACTGTTTAAATTTGGTTACAGCATTTTCTGATAAGCACCTGCTGAGATGAAATTTACTCTCAGTGACTGTGTAGTCATTTAATGTAAACTCAAAGTTATTAAAAAATGGTCGGACAGAATAGGATTTTGAGGAACTATTACCAAGTCCTTAATCTCTACACCATAGGTCAGAACTAAATCAAGAGTGTGATGATAAGAATGAGTAGATGTGTGGACGTTTTGGGTAAAACCAAATGAGTCTATTAAATTATTAAAGGCTATGATTAAACTATCACTCTCAACATCCACATGAATATTGAAATCACCCATTATGATGATTTTATCAGTATTTAATAGTAAGTCAGTTAATAATTCTGAGAATTCAGACAAAAACTGAGAGTAAGCGCCTGGTGGACGATATA